CCCCAAAAATCTGCACCAAAATCAGCCCTGGACCCCCCGTTCCACCCCTTGGTCTCCATTGTCCTCTTTAGGGGGGGGGCTCAAAATTGACCCAAATCCACCCAAAATTGACTCAAATCCCCCCAAAATTGACTAAAATCTCCCCAAAATGGATCCAAAGATCCCCCAAAAGCAGAAAACCAACCAAAAATCGGATTTTCCCCCAAAAATCTGCACCAAAATCAGCCCCGGAACCCCCGTTCCACCCCTTGGTCTCCATTGTCCTCTTTAGGGGGGGGCCTCAAAATTGACCCAAATCCACCCAAAATTGACTCAAATCCCCCCAAAATTGACTAAAATCTCCCCAAAATGGATCCAAAGATCCCCCAAAAGCAGAAAACCAACCAAAAATCGGATTTTACCCCAAAAATCTGCACCAAAATCAGCCCTGGACCCCCCCTTCCACCCCTTGGTCCTCAATGTCCTCTTTAGGGTGGGGCCTCAAAATTGGCTCAAATCCCCCCAAAATTTGACCCAAATCCACCCAAAATTGACTCAAATCTCCCCAAAATGGACCCAGAGACCACCCCAAAAGCAGAAAACCCCCAAAAAATTGGGTTTTCCCCCAAAAATCTGCACCAAAATCAGCCCCAGACCCCAAAATATTGGATTTTGCCCCAAAAATCTGCAACAAAATCAGCCCCGGACCCCCCCTTCCACCCCTTGGTCTTCATTGTCTTCTTCAGGGTGGGGCCTCAAAATTGGCTCAAATCCCCCCAAAATTTGACCCAAATCCACCCAAAATTGACTCAAATCTCCCCAAAATGGACCCAGAGACCACCCCAAAAGCAGAAAACCCCCAAAAAATTGGGTTTTCCCCCAAAAATCTGCACCAAAATCAGCCCCAGACCCCCCGTTCCACCCCTTCATCTTCCTTGTCTTCTTCAGGGTGGGAGCCCCAAAATTGGCCCAAATCCCCCCAAAATTGGCTCAAATCCCCCCAAAATTGGTTCAAATCCCCCCAAAATTTGTCCAATCTGTCATTTCCCTCCCAAAATCCCCCCAATTTTCCCAGAATTTCCCCAAATTTCCAGGAATTTTCTGGAATTCCCCCCAAACCCCTCCTCAAACTCATTTTCCCCCATTTTTTCCCATTTTCCCCCCATTTTTCCCCATTTATCCCCCAAATTTCCCCAAATTTCCATGAATTCTCCCCAAATTTCCGTTAATTTTCTGGAATTTCCCCCAAACCCATCCTCAAACTCTCATTCACCCCCATTTTTCCCATTTTCCCCCCATTTTTTCCCATTTACCCCCCAAATTTCCCCCATTTTTTCCCATAATTTCCCCAAATTTCCCCGAATTCTCCCCAAATCTCCCCGAATTCTCCCAAAATTCCCCAAATTTCCGGGAATTTCGCGCTCGCAGGGCTGTCTCTGGTGGTGGGGCTGGTTCTCTACATCTCCAGCATCAACGACGAGGTGATGAACCGCCCGGGCGGCTCCGAGCAGTACTTCCAGTACCGCTACGGCTGGAGCTTCGCCTTCGCCGCCTCCTCCTTCCTGCTCAAGGAGGTCAGTCCCAAAAATGCCCAAAATTCCCTCGTTTTGGGTGAAAAAATGGCGTTTCTGGGTGAAAAAATGGAGTTTCTAGGTGAAAAAATGGCGTTTCTAGGTGAAAAAATGGCGTTTCTAGGTGAAAAAATGGCGTTTTTACGGTAAAAAATGGGGTTTTTACGATGAAAAAGGTGAATTTTACACCCCAAAAAAATGCAAAAAATCACCTTTTCCCAAGGAAATCGGGGTTTTCCAAAAAAAGGGGTTTTAGGGAAAAAAATTGGAATTTTTTTTGGTGAAAAAAAGTGAATTTTGGGGTGTAAAAAGGGGGTTTCAGGCCTGGCTGGGAGCAGCACTTCCAGCACCGCTACGGCTGGAGCTTCGCCTTCGCCGCCTCCTCCTTCCTGCTCAAGGAGGTCAGTCCCAAAAATGCCCAAAATTCCCTCGTTTTGGGTGAAAAAATGGCGTTTCTGGGTGAAAAAATGGAGTTTCTAGGTGAAAAAATGGCGTTTCTAGGTGAAAAAATGGCGTTTTTACGGTAAAAAATGGGAATTTTACGATGAAAAAGGTGAATTTTACGCCCCAAAAAAGTGCAAAAAATCACCTTTTACCAAGGAAATCGGGGTTTTCCAAAAAAAGAGGTTTTACAAAAAAATTGGAAATTTTTTGGTGAAAAAATGTGAATTTTGGGGTGTAAAAAGGGGGTTTCAGGCCTGGCTGGGAGCACTTCCAGTACCGCTACGGCTGGAGCTTCGCCTTCGCCGCCTCCTCCTTCCTGCTCAAGGAGGTCAGTCCCAAAAATTCCCAAAATTCCGTCGTTTTGGGTGAAAAAATGGAGTTTCTGGGTGAAAAAATGGAGTTTCTAGGTGAAAAAATGGCGTTTCTAGGTGAAAAAATGGCGTTTTTACGGTAAAAAATGGCATTTTTACGATAAAAAAATGGGAATTTTATGCCCCAAAAAAGTGCAAAAAATCACCTTTTACCAAGGAAATCTGGGAAAAAATCCAAAAAATCCCAAAATTCCATCGTTTTGGGGAAAAAAATGGAGTTTCTAGGTGAAAAAATGGAGTTTTTACGGTAAAAAATGGGATTTTTTACCCAAAAATGGTCATTTTTATGTGAAAAAATTGGGTTTTTGCAACTGAAAAGAAGGGGGGAATCAGGTCTTCTCAAAACAGGAATTTTAGGGGAAAAAAAGGGAATTTTTTTGGTGAAAAAATGGAATTTTTGGGTAAAAACCAGGGAATTTTATGTCAAAAAATGGGATTTTTTCATGAAAAAATGCGGTTTTACGTGGAAAAAAAGGGGTTTTTTACACCCCAAAAAAAGTGGGAAAAATCAGGTTTTCCCAAAATATTCCAGGTTTTCAAAAAAAGGGGTTTTTAGGGAAAAAAAAAGGGATTTTGGGGTGAAAAAATGGAGGTTTTATGTGAAAAAAATGCGATTTTTATGGGAAAAAAAGGGGATTTTTAATGTGAGAAAATGGGGGTTTTATACCCAAAAAAAAGTGGGGGAAATCGGGTTTTCCCAAAAAATCGGAATTTTTAATAGAAAAGGGGATTTGGGGGTGAAAAAATGAGATTTTGGGGTGAAAAAATGAGATTTTGGGGTGAAAAAATGAGATTTTGGGGTGAAAAAATGAGATTTTGGGGGGCAGGGCTGGGTGCAGCACTGCCAGCGCCGAGCGGCTGGAGCTGCACCAGGTGTGACACCTGACAGGTGTGACAGGTAACAGGTGTGACAGGTGACATGTGTGACAGGTGACAGGTGTGACAGGTGTGACAGGTGTGACACGTGACAGGTGTGACAGGTGACACTCAGGTGTCACTCAGCTGTGACAGGTGACAGGTGTCACTCAGGTGTGACAGCTGTCACTCAGCTGTCACTCAGGCGTCATTCAGGTGTCACTCAGGTGTCTCTCAGGTGTGACACCTGTCAGGTAACCCCTCTCTCTCTCCGCTTAGGGTGCAGGTGTGATGTCAGTGTACAGCTGTCACTCAGGTGTCTCTCAGGTGTGACACAGGTGTTACTGAGGTGCTCAGGTGTCACTCAAGAGTCACTCAGGTGTCACTCAGGTGTCACAGGTGTGATGTTGGTGTACAGCTGTCACTCAGGTGTCAGGTGTCA